AAAAAAAAAAAAAGAAGCAACATTTGATTTGGGTTTTGAAGTCTTTTAGGAGTTCATCAGGGAACATTGAGCGAAAAGGCATGGAGGTTTGAGAGAGCATGGATTAGGACAATTTAGAATGAAAAATTCTGTTTCCGTCATTACCCATGGTGATGTGAGGTCATGGCCATGTTAGGTCACCTCTAACAGTGTCTGTGTAAGGGATGAATACTGGCTTGCATTTGAGTTTTTTATTACTCTATAACAAATTACCTCAAATTTAGCACCTTGCCATAATGCTCATACATTATCTCATAATTTCTTTTGGGCAGGAATCTAGCATGGGTTTGCTGGGCCCCTCTGCTCAGTCTCATCAAGGTGTTTGTTGGCTGGAGCTTGGGGTCCTCTTTCAAACTCATTAAGGTTGTCAGCAGAGTTCAGTTTCTTGCTGCTGTAGGACTGAGGTCCTTTCTTGCTGGCTGTCAGCCAAGGTCCCTCTCAGCTCTTAGAGGCCACCCCAGGTTGTAAGCCACATGGCCCTAGCACAATATGGCAGCTTGCTTCTTCAAAGCCAGAGGGAGAATAAATATCCCTTTATTCTCCTAATTATAGTGTAATTATGGGAGTGGCCATCCCATCTCCTTTGTCATTTAACAAGGGAGTGATATCTCATTATATTCACAGGTCTCACCCACACTCGAAGCAGAGGATTATGCAGGGTGAGGACTCCAGGGTGGCAATCTTGGGGGTCATTTTAGCATTCTGCCTATTACAGCTTGGATGAGAGCTAATAGAAAATAGTCCAAAGGCTTTGGGGGAAAAAAGAAACAAAATAAGAAGCCTGGCCTTTTCCCAGTCTTAAACCTTAGCACTTAATTTGTTGGGTGGCCTAATCCTTGTTTATCTGAGTATAGCATCATTTCAACTCATCCATTTATTTGAATCGTCTCTGTTCATTTACTCATGCTAATTCCCAGGCTTCTGACAGATATGTGTAGTATCTTGTATATCCCTTCCAACGTTTATTGTAGGATTCTATTATGAAGGACTAAGTTAGAAAAGTATTTTGTTTTGTTTTTTTTATAGAAAGGATAGACGTAATATATGTATGCTGGTATGAATTTTAACATATGTTTAACATAGGCTATTTGCAAAGACATCTGAATTTCAGTGCCAGCTCCATCATTCAGTAGTGATATGACAGTGAGCAGATTACTTCTCTAAGCTTCCATTTAGCTTGGGGGTAGGATTTGAATTTACTCGCCTGCAAGCAGGTAATATTCCCGTTCAGAAAAAAGTGTTAGCACACATAATTGCACTACTATGAAATCACTTCTTAGTGAATCATCATCATCACTTTAGATGACAATTACTGGACTCTCAGTCCCTTGCAAGAAGCGATATTTATTGTCTAATGAATGGCACATCAAAGATGATGTTCTCTTATTTTGTCTACTCTGATTAATTGATCATATGATCCTCAGATTAATCTCATTATTGAAGATATATATTAGTCCTCAAACAGTAAGGTTATAAACTTGCCTTTTTCTATGGGATACAGGATATAGGATCAGTATGAATTACCATTGGGTCACTGTGGTCAAATATTCTGTTAAAAAACTTTCCCTCCTTTGATCTCATATCCCTTGTAATTATTGTACTTTTTTTTTTTTTTTTTTTTTGCTGCCTTTCCCAGCAACTGTTCACCACATACCGATCGCACTTCCCCACTTCCTGATTTCTTCTAGTCCATGGTAGTCCACTGTTCCTGCCACTTATTTACCAGGTCAACAAGTATTTCTTGAATGCCAGGCACTGTTGTAGGTACCGGGGAAAGAAACATGAACCTCAAAGATTGGTAGGACAGGAGAGATATAGTCCCTGAATAAAGAAATAAGTAAAATACATAATAAGTCAAATGGCTCTAAGTGCTATAAAAATATAAAGCAGAGGAGGGGGATGGAGGAAGAAATAAATAGGGGGAGGGGATTACTCCCTGGGAAGATAAGCAAAACTCTTGAGAGTTGGAGAGTGAACTGTGTGATGTGTGGGGGAAGATGTTCCAGGGAAAGAGCTGCACATGCAAAAGCTAGATGGGAGCAAGGAGGCTAGTGTGGCTGGAGCCCAAGACTCAGGAGGACGGTAGGAATGAGGCTTGGCGATGGCAGCAAGGGGAGGTGGGAGGCACAGTGCGTGGAGACAGATCACTTCACGGGGTCTCTGGCTTTTCCTCTAAGTATGTATCCTTGAAAAGGATCACTCCAGCTGCTGTATGAAAATATTTCTGCAGGAAGGGAGGACTGGAATAGGGGAGATAAGTTGAGAGCCTGCTGTAATCACCTGGAGCAGAGAAGTGTTAGCATGATAGGTAGGGAGGTGGTGAGACATGGTCAGATTGGGGGTGTATTTTAAAGTCAGAGCCAACAGGATTTGCTGCTGGGTTGGAGGCAGGAACTGAAAGAAAGAGGACTCACGGGTGACACCAAGATTTTGGCCTGAGGAA